AACCGTATCGCATCGCCAAAAAAAGCCTACGGACACTGCACCTTCCGTTTACTGGGCGCGTCGCAAATCGGCCGGATTAACCAATCCACCACCACCGCCTCATCAGGTCGCCGCATTCAAGCATCATCGATCTGCACAGTCGCATAATTACCTGCGCCTTTGCAATCATCCCCGGCGCATTCGCGAATCTTCTTCCCGAGGTTGTCGCGACTTTCACGCTAGCCGCATCCCGGTCATTCCTGCCCGAGTTGCATGCGCGATCCAGGATCGCGACGCTCCTTCCCAAGCTTCCATCCTTTGCGACGGTAGCTTCCCCGCGATCGCGCCTTCGCCGCACCCTCGCCTTCCTCGTCACGAGAACCCGAGATCGTGCCTTCCGTCCGATTGAGAGGAGTCGCTGTCTTCCTCTTTCGCACCCGATCGCGTCGTCAATCAACGACACTCGAACCACGGCCATCATCACCATTAGCCTGTCGCATCCCATTCATCCAATTTTGCGCGCGCCGCCATTGATGTTGCGTCGCGCACAATAATTCTATCCTCATCGTAAACACCACATGGCAGTCATGGCGTCACCTCAGTCAGAACGCGCCACCTCGGATCAGAAATCAGTCGAGTTCGCGCCTACAAAGGAGGAGAGCAAGCCGGAGACCAACGGGTAAGTGATGCTTAGAGCTATGTCTTTGCGCGTCGCACTCGATACGAGTTTGGCGCGTCATGGCGCAAAGTTGCTTGAACCCAACAATGGAACTGATGTCTCTCGCAGCCACGCCTCACCATCCGAAAAAGTCACCGAGTCTGAAGAGCCCACCGTCAATGGCAACGGCAAGCACGATGACGAGAAGAAGGAACCCGCTGAAACCGATGTGAGCGCCGCCAAGGATGCCGACGCTGCATCCAAGGAGGGCTCTGCGAAGCCGGATGAGTCACCTAAGGAGCCCAAGGCCGATAAGTCCGACGACGCACCGAAAGACGACGCAAAGAAAGACGAATCTAAGGATGACTCGAAGGACGAGAAGAAGGATGAGGAGAAGGAGAAGACCAAGTCCGACAGTCCGGCAGCTGCCGAGCCGGCAAAGGATGTCGACATGACCGACGCGCCTGAACCCAAGCCTGAGGAGAAGTCGGACAAGAAGCCGGAGGAGAAGGCGGCTGAGGCATCCGAACCCGCCAAGAGCGCGTCGGATGCCAAGGAAGACGTCGAGATGAGCCAGGACGACGACAAGGTCAATGGGGCGAAGAAGGAGGAGTCGTCACCTGCGCCGGCTGCTGCAGTACCAGAGGTAGATCTTCACCCTGCAAGCATGTCACAACTTGCAATTGACCATGACAAGGCAAAGTCTCCAGCTCCCAAGGATGACGACGTTCCCATGACCGAGGCACCCCCAGCGAGCAAGATTTCTCGCGAGCGAGAAGAAGACGCCGCTGATGAGCCTGCACCGAAGCGAGCCAAGACCGAGTCGAATGCCGATTCGCAAGAGGCCCGTGCCGCTGAGTCCACTGTCGAAGTCAAGCCGCAGGGCGATTTGGCTATGGGCGAGTCTGCTCTCGAAACCCTTCCCCTGTGGAACGATACCGAGCGCGACCCCCAACCGTTGACTTCACACCAAATACGCGAATTCCGTAAAGTTTTAGCTGGCGTGAAGAAGACGAAGCATGGCGGTCACTTCAAGGATGCTGTTGTCAAGATGTGGCCTAGTCTAGCCGACAGCTACATCTTGCGGGTTAAGAATCCCATGGATATCGGCGAGCTTGAGCGCAACTTGCGCGACAACAAGTACAGCTCCCTGCGCAAGTTCAAGGACGACCTCGGCTTGATTTACAAAAACTCTTGCACGTTCAACGGTGTTAACAACGAGATAACGTCAGCGGCTCTCAATGTCGTTCGGCTGGCATGGACCCGTGTCATGGAGGTCCCCTCAGATGAGCCAGCGAAGTCGAAGCCAGTACCCAAGCCCTCTCGTCACTCCGAGACCCGAACACCCGCGCCTGCGCCGCCAGTCCGCAGACAGCCTAGTGTAACTGCTGCAAGCCCTCCGGCGAAAGCCGAGACGGAAGCCTACGCGGTCCCGCCTGGTGGTGTGCCTCAGGTTCGACGTGCGTCGACACAGAATGACCTTGACCGACCTAAGCGCGCCATCCAGCCCACCAAGAACAGAGACCCTGATTACACGGCCAAAAACTTCAACAAGAAGAAACTCTCCATTGAGCTTCAGTTCTGTTACGAGGTCTTGAGCGAGTTGATGGACCAGAAGCACGCGCAGATCAACTTCGCCTTCCTGCACCCTGTCGACCCTGTTGCTCTGGCAATTCCTACGTACTTCACCATCATCAAGCGTCCCATGGACCTTGGTACGATCATGGGCAAGCTGAAGAACTTTGACTATCAGTCAGCAAAGGAATTCCAGGGCGACGTCAAGCAGGTGTTCAAGAACTGCTTCAAATTCAACCAGCCCGGTCAGCCTGTCTACGAGAATGGACAGGAACTGGAGAGCATCTTCAGGAATCTTTGGTCAAAGAAGGAGCAGTGGATCGCCAAGCACACCCCTGCAAAGCCTGTTTCCGATGGGTCAGCCCACGACAGTGACGATGAGGCTGAAGAAGAAGAGGAAGAAGCGCCCGCTGCCGCTGCCGAGCCGGCGACCAACAAGACAATTCAAATGCTTGAGAAGCGCCTCAAGGAAGAAACGGAACAGCTAACGCAGCTGTACACAACGGCAGACGCATCGAGCGACGCGATGATTGATCTCCAACAGAGTGTCATTGCGACCATTAGACAACGAATTTTGCAGGAGAAGCAAAGTCTGCCGGCTCAGAAGCCTGTCAAGGGAGCGAAGGCGAAGCCGCCTAAGCCCAGCAAGCCAAAGGCCAGTGGTGCTCCCAGCAAGAAGGCTGCCCCGGCCGCTCCTCAAAAGAAGAGTGGCGGCGGCGCGCCTAAGAAGCCAAAGCAACGCTCGATGACCCAGCCCGAGAAGGATGCAATCGCGAACGCTATCAACGACCTCGAGAGTCCTCACATTGAGAGAGCTATTGACATCATCAAGAAGGACACGGGGCAATCGGTGCGTAACCTTTTTCTGTGCACTTGAATCCGTTTGCTAACAGACTGCAGGAGAACAGCAGCGGCGAGCTCGAGTTGGAGATAGATCAGCTGACCAACGAAGCATTGCACAAGCTGTGGGATCTTTGCAAGAAGGCCTTGCCCTCGTTTGGCTCAGGCCTGGCCCCGGCAGCAGCATCTGCTCGTGAGGCCTCGCCGGTGAACAGCGCGCCTGCGAAAGGCGGGTCCAAGTCGAGCAAGCCCAAAAAGAATAAGCCGATGAACGCCCAGGAGCAAGAAGCGCGCATCGCAGAGCTTGAAAGGCTGCGCAACATGTACGGCAGCAAGGGCGGATCCGACGACGGTCACGAGCGACCAGGTAGTGCCGGTCGTGCGGACGAGGCGCCGATTCATGGAGACAGCGAGTCTTCTGATTCTGAGGAGGAGTAATTGCTTGCGCGTAATCAGCAACGCGTTTTATGTTGAATCTGCAGGAGGGGAGGGAGAGAGGATGGCGACGCCAGCATAACCTACCTGCCTGGAAGGCCTGGCGTCCTTCATGGCTCATGTCAACCACGCCGTGGGGCTCATCCGCCCAAGAGGGTGGCAAGCGAGGCTGGTCTCATGTTTTGGACACGGCCTCAGTAAATCATGACCTCGCGAGTACCGCATTTGAAGCCGATTGTCTGCGCCCGAGGAGTGGCTGCGGAGACAGATGAAAAAGGCGTTGATTTGCGGTGTTACTGGATGCCGCGTTTTGAGAGCATCCACATTATTTGCTAGCAGCATGATTCGGCGAGCTAGCGGTTTGAGTTGTAGAATAAGATGTATAATAACACTCTTCATCCCATTGTCGTAGTGAGGTTGTGATGCTGCTCATCTTGGACGGACGACTCGCGTACTCGCCGATGGAACGGCATCGACGATGCCGACTGCGTCTTGGGTCTACAGCTGAGTCAGCGCTTGCAGAAACTTCCGTCTTGAGACTGGGTGATCCCGGATCGAGATCGAGAGCGGAAGGTTGGATCGACTGATGTGACATCGGATTGATGCTGCTTGAGTCGCGTGAGATGTGGTGAGTTGGACTTCGGATATGAGCGTTGCGCCCAGGCCGAGACTATCTTGAGTCGGTCGGGTGTCTCTCGGATGAAGCTTGATGAAGCTTCTGGATCTTTTTCGAGAGGTTCAGAGCTGATGCTGGAGTAGGCTGTCCGTGTGATGAAAAAATGAGCTGGATGTGTGTGTGTGTTTCGAGAGCAGGAAAAATTGCAGTTGTTGCCTGCAGGTTGATGGTTTTTTTTGCTGGTTGTGGTTGGTGTCCAGGTGGTGGGGAGTGGCAGAAGGTAATGAATGGGTGATGTGTGGTCGAGGGCTCCTCGGCTCCGGGGGTTTGGTGCGAAGCTTTGATTGGTGTTGTGGGGCGTGGCGGCGGCGCGGTGACGGGGTCCGGCCGGAGACGGCAGGGACGGAGGGAGAGATGACGGAGGATGGAGGCAGGTGTCGTTACATCAAGAGCAGGCTGACATTTCTATCGAATTACGTTTCGGTTTATGGTCTGGGTTATGATTTGCATTGGGAAGTTGTGGAGGAGTGAAATCTATGCCGACCGTATCTCCTGTGGCTTGCCCTCATCCCCGTTGTCGTTGTTGTCGTCTTCTTTGCTGCTGTTGTCTCTGCCGCCGTCGTCCCCGCCACCGCCATTGTCATCGCTATCTCTATTATTATGATGCTCTCTCCTATCGTCATCATGGTTTCTACGATCCTCGTTATCGACTTGGCCATTCATTGATTTAGCATACTCTAGCAAATCATGATCCTGATATAATTGAGAAGCCATTCAATAGCCACATAGACAAGGAACAATTAAGAGACCTCGTGAATAACGCAGCTATTGTACAGAGTGAACTGGGGGCTTTGAAGCTAAGTCTATGTATTCATCCATGGCGCGAAGTTTATACAACTACTTTGAATCCCTATGTTTTTGTTCGGAGAAGCTATCGACCTTGCTCTCCCTTGAGAGAACCCCACCTTCAATGTTGCGGCGCTTCACTCTCAACGGTCCGGATTGCTCTTCCTTCAAAATCTCTTTAATCTGAGACCCGTCGATGCCGCCGCTTCCGCGGACGCACTTCATGCAGTCATCAACATCAAGACGGAGACGAAGCCCACGGCCAGCCCCCATCTTACCGGTGGAGGATGGGCCGACCCGTCTGACCCACGAGCCGAACTGCCGCCCTGAATGATCGCCGTCACCGTCGTGCTCTCCGTCACGGTCACCGTAGCCTCGAGAACTTCACCGCGTCAGACATATAGCAGCTGTGTGCGAAATCGTAACTCACGAGGGAACGTCACCCGGTACCAGGTCATCGGCAGGACATACTGGTCCGACTTGGCGATGCAGAAGATGATCCGCCTTGCGTCGTCGCTTCCCTTGGTCTGAAGGACCGTGATTGTGTCGCAGGTCTTCGTCGGTCCGCTACCAGAAGCTCATATTAAAACCACGCATACAGGTTTGTCAAGCGGTAAGACGTACCAGTCAGCCTGTCCGCTCGGTCCCATGGCGAAATTGTTATTCGCGCCTCCGCAGACCGTCGCCAGGTCGCAGTACGGCGTGCCTCGCGGGCAGCACACGCCGTACGTCTCGTCGGCGGCGAAGTAGTCATCCGAGGGACACGTCGCGGATACCCAGGTATCGGAAAAGCTGTACCAGCCTATGAAGCCCGTCTTTCCGTCCGGCGAGCGCGGGGGCCCTTGGCGCGCTTTAAGGAGATGCAGGCGGCGGGAGACGTGGGAAGGGTCCGGCGCCGGTGTGATTTGCAGGAAGGGGGCGGAGAAGGCCGGGGAAGGGGGGCTGTTGTCACGGACGGCGGATGCGAACACGGATCTGGGAGAGAGGAAGACGGCGAGGGAGAGGAAAGTTAGGATGTGCATCGTGGGCACGAGGCCGGCGCGGCCTCATTGGGCTGGCGGCGGAATGGGCACGGGCGCGAGCTGCAGGTTGGCGGGTGTGGATTTGAGATGGACGGGAGGGAGGCAGGTATTATGTGAAAGGGTTATATTCGAGCGTTGATGCCATGACGGGAGAGGAAGACCTTTTCACTGCATGTAGCGGTCGAGGGGGTCTTCACGAGGGTGGGAGGCTAGGCTGTAAACGGCGAGACGTGGGTGCGATGATCCGGGGCTTTGCAGTGCTGGAAAGGATCAGCTGGAGGACCGCGTATGTGTGGGGGTGAGGCTTTGATGACGGTGTTGTGTGTTCTAGGCGTTCAGTCACTGGGGTAAGTAGGTGAGATGGTGTAAGAGGGTGAGACTTTGCTGTAGACCGTGAGTCTGTGAGGATGGGGCTGAGAAGGTCGACACGGCGGACGGCTTGCCGAAGAAACTAAGACTATCTTGGCAACCTCCAGCGAGCTGGTGATCGCTTTGGATACTTCCGTATCCAGCATCTATATAAATCTGAATAGGGGTCGTTCAGGAGATGAACCATGGATCGGGGTTGATGCATGCATGGCTCAAGCTAGGGATGAGGTTGACACTAAGAGATCTGCCTGTTGACACTATTGTGAGTGATTCTCAATGTCTTGTTATGGATGTGTTAGTACATCACCGTGGTACGCAGAGAAGGATGGTCGAGAATGTGATTTGAAATGATACCGCGGTCACTTAGCTGGGTTCTCGGTCGTAAAATGCGCTAATGCACCTGTGCACCCGTGTCAAGTCGAAGACTTAGAACATGAGCCGAACTAGCCTGCATATTCTCCGGCACGATAATGCGAGATTAGGAATGGACTGGTTCCGTGTTTCCATACAATGGCTGGAAAATCCGATGTTCTTGTAGTTTTTGACTTTCCGGGAAGCCTCGACACCGGATATAGCATTCCGGGTTCAACGACCGGGGCCGAGATGAGTCCAAAGTGTCGTAGATTTCTACGCTAGCTGAAATTCACCGAGGAGAAGAGTAAGTTGCGTTGCGTCCCAGATCTTTGAATGTTCTTATGAGAGATTGAGTTGAGGTCGCTGCCGGATCGGCATCTTTGCCTGAGCACGCCCTCGTCTGATGTTGACATTCAAAGCGAAGATGGACTTGGCCCTATCAGGGCATCAACGTCCTTCTCAAAATCAGCTTTCGAATATGATCGCTAGCTTCTGGTCGTCAACTTTAATCCACTTCTTCGCTGTAATGAGTGCAGCTACCCGTCTTCGGCTGCCCTCATCGACATTTTCGTTGCATAACATCACTCCCTTCGCAGCGGCCGCCCTTTCTCATCGATGTGAATGTGTCCGGTAGAAAGAGAACATAAAAGTCTTTACTCCGGAATAGTTGAAAGAAGTTTCTGGGTTTCAACGGGCTTGTTATCTGAGAAGCTGTCTGAAGATGCGCGTTGACTGTCTCGCCCAGTCGTTGAGACAAACGGTAGGTCATAGCCACTGAACTGATTGAAACCACCCCACGGTCATAGCACTTTAAAGCACACACCCAACGATGCCACCAGTCACAGAACTGATTTCAATCGACGTTTATTTTGTCCTGGTTGCTCTCAGAGAGAAAGCAAGCAGCTGAGGGCCTAGAGCTCGAACGTTCTTTGCAGGGTCACTCTGAGCTCTCCAGGGAGGAAACAAGTGTTCGCCCGACCAAAATGAGACATTGCACAAATTCGAAAGAATTTCTTTGAAAAGTATACACTGAAACAAAAAAGTAAATACCTAATCAAGACACGGAGTGATGGCTTTCATCGCTCTCTTGAGTTTTAACTGGTCTCATCAAACGTAGAAATCATTCGGCCCAAACTACATCATTTTACCAACTTCACGATAAGATTATTCTAACAACCTCAGAATAGTCATTGCTAGGCTGGTTGCGATAGCTTTCATAAATGTCTGAATCGATGGCCATGTTCTTCAATGGGGATTCCAGGGTGGGCGGCCTTGTCCCGGGCCAACGGCCGTCTTGATCCCGACATCGGCACTTAGTGGCCGGGAAGTGGGTCCCGAATCGGAATCATGGAGGGGCCAGCTGGCGGCGATGCTCGCGTCATTGGAAGCAAGTCTTTTTGGCACAAACATCAGCAGTTTCAATTCCAGAGTCCGACAAGAATCCTATCAGTGTTTGCGGCCAGCCAGCCATCATAAGCTACAATGAGTCTACCTTCGTTCGTTCGACCCTTCGTCAAGTCTGAGATCCGCACCGTCGAGATGCACACCTCGGGCGAGCCGGCGCGGATCGTTTACTCCGGCTACCCAGATATCTCGTATGCAATCCACACAGCCAAATGCCCAAGTCTTTGCTGATAACCCGATAGCGGCACACTTCTCGAGCAACGGAACCAAGCCCAATCAAATCATGATCACATACGGCGCAGTCTCGTTTACGAGCCTCGCGGCCACCAAGACATGTACAGCGCCGTGTTGAGACCACGCACCGAGCTAGTGGACGCTGGAGAAGCACATATGGGCGCCCTGTTTCTCACTCACGAGGGGTACGGAATGATGTGCGGACACGCCACGATCGCGCTCGGCAGATTTCTCGTCGACTGCACCGACGAGACTATCTTCCGGCGACGCAAAGACTTGAAGTTCGATGAGCAGACGAAGGAGGTGCAGGTTAGGCTTCATGTGCCGGCAGGCATCGTGCAAATGAAGGTCCCTGCCGTGAAAGCGTACGGTAGCTGGAGGACGGACACAAGCAGGCCGGTTACCTTCCTCTCGATTCCCACTTTTGCTATTGCTACCGAACTCACTTTCCACGTCCCAGAGTGCCTCCGGTGGGCTGAGATGGATGGCAGTGACAGCGTGACTGTCGATGTTGGTTATGGTGGTGCATTCTACATCATCGTCAGGGCATCTGCCTTGGGCTTTTCACCATCCCTCGCGAAGCCCGATTTTCCTGCTCTCAAAAACGCTGCGGACAAGTTGAAGGAAGCATTCAACTCAAACCAACTTCTGCGAACTCGGCTCACACTGCCAGATGACAAGCGTCTTCAGTCCGTATATGGCGTCATGGTCACAGATGCCGACAGCGAGGACGACTTGCCCGTCGCTCCAGGATGCAAGGGCGCAGAAACAGGGTTATACTTCTTCTCTGACCAGATTGATCGCAGTCCCACTGGCTCAGTTGTCCAAGCGCGAGTTGCGGTCGCAGTTGCAAAGGGGGAAAGACAACTGGGAGAGAGCTGGACGTATCACAGTCTTGTGTCGAGGGCTCAAGGAGACTACAAGAGTGCCTTTGTTGGCAAGCCGGCCGAAAAGGTTGACTTTGGTAAGATGGAGGGGATCAGAGTGGAGGTGAGCGGGAGGGCGCACTACATTGGTGCAAGCACGTTCATAGCTGAGGAAGAGGATGATGTCGGTCGAGGCTTTTCCTTCCAAGCACTCGGCAAGTAAGAATTAGGGACGACGAAGAAGCAATTTACGCAAGAGATCAAAGGCCTCAGTTGTTATTCAAAGGCAAAAGAAATGGCTACTTTGACCGTTTGAGGTAGTAAATCTCAAATGATGTCAAAAAGTATGCATCGACGTTGGCCTGATTCGAACAGACGCTCCCGAAGGAACAAGATTTCTAGTCTTGCGCATTAGACCACTCTGCCACAACGCCGTGGAGATGAACCCGCTTTGAGACGGGGATATTGTGGATGCGAAGGCAAGTCGTTCATGACGCTAGCAGAAATCATCGACAAGGGTCTAGGAAGAGATGGGTGGGTTCAGTTGGCGCCGACAAACGCATCGGAGATGGTTGCTTAGGAGTTCTTCAGAGTGTCGAGATTCATAGCATCTGATTGTACTCGGGACGTAATACCCGCTCAGGGTTGATTGTAGGCCCACCAGGTGAGCCCTGTTACAATCCCGATAATTTCTACTAATTTTCGCCTACCGGTTGCACGCTTGAATACTCAGAGATATCTACCTCAAGTTGAAAGCCTTCTGAGACACCTTCATCTTTGATTCATTATCTCTTCTAGACTCTACTTGAAGAACTCCAAAATAGTCTCCGCAACATCATCAGGTGCCTGCTCAGGAATATAGTGCCCAGACTCAACATTATGTCCCTTCACCGTCACATCTTTGCTGGTAACATCCTGCCACTCTTTCACCGCATCGTAGCACTTTTCAATCACACCGTACTTGCCCCAAAGTATCATCAAGGGACACTGAATCAACCTTCCAGCCTTCAGGTCCGCCTCTGCCTCCTCCAAGTCCAGCGTCGCACTAGCGCGGTAGTCGTTGCACATAGAATGCACCGCCGCTGGGTCTTCCAAGACGCTTGCATAGTAGTCGAAATTCTCCTTTTCAAAGATCTCCAGTCCCTTCGGTTGTCTGCCCCCCATGAACATTTCCGCGTATTGCCTTGGCGCGGCTGAGATCAGTGTCTCTGGCAGAGGTTCCTGCTGAATCAAGAAGAACCAGTGAAAGTACGCCTTCGCGAATTCGAAATTCGTCGTCTTGTACATGACCAAAGTCGGGGCAATGTCGAGGAAGATGGCCTTCTTAACGCGATCGGGAAAGTCAACAGCCAGTTTGTGCGCAACCCGTGCGCCGCGATCATGTGCGCAGACGAAGAACGGCTTTCCCTCGTAACCAAGGTGGTCCATCACGCTGATGCAGTCGCGCGCCATTGCGCTCTTGGCGTAAGATGCCACATCGCCGGGCTTCGAGGATGCGCCGTAGCCGCGTATGTCAATGGCGATTACCGTATACTTGTCCACGACTCGTTCGGCCACGCGATGCCAGATGTGGTGGCTTTGAGGGAAACCGTGAATGAGGAGCAAGGGTGGGAGGGGTGATGCGGAATCCCCGCTCCTAATGCCGTGAATTGTGATCGGCGGGGAGGTTTGGGTGGTGATTGTGAATGGTTGGAAGCCGTCGAACATCTTGGGCGATTGTAGTACGATGAGTAGACGAGAATGAGATAGTAAATGAATCGTTCTACTTTTGAA